GATATGGAATGGGGGATAACTAGTATGGGATATGCTTTGTCACATGTGATCATTTATAAGTGACAGTCATGTCCCAAGCAGTATGGACTTACTGGAAATGGCAAGTTGCTATGTTTTCCAGGTGCTTCTTCACTTTAACATTCCCCGGATGCCTCCCAGCTAACCAGTACAAGCCCATGTAACTTACGAAGTTTGAATCCAATGTATATAGCCCTAGACAAGTTATCCAGCAGAGACACCCCAAAAACTAACCCATGGTAGAAAACGACAGCTTTGCCCACTGTGAGGATGTGCAACAGCCTAGTACAGTTGTAAGCCAAGGAGAATACTGGTGGTAGACTAGTGCCTTTCACGGGTTCAACAGTGAATGGCATACATACAGAACAGAAAAGTGCCTCTAGATATTGAGAAAAGATTCAGAGCACAATTGCTATAATGCTTGTTCAATTACCTTGTTGCCTGGAACATTGTTATCCTCTTTCATGGAAAGTAGTTGCCGGGGAAAGGTGGGAAGCAATGAAATGGGAAATGCAGGCAGTTTTGTTCTGAAGCTTCTTAATATTTAATGCTGTGTGCAAAATTTCTGGTGTAATTTTTTCTCTGAGTGAGTGGCTTCGAGATGCATGAAGAGAAATACTTGATTTGAAGGCATCAGCAGAAAGAGCTGTCACTCTATACTGAAGCTGGTCTGGTTCATCAGAGCAGCTTATTAATATACAAGTTACTCATAGTTGCAAGTGGAAAAAGAATGTTTCCCTGAGGAATATTCAGTCACTAATTTTCCAGTGTCCCGAGTGGACACTTTTGTTTGCTTATCCTTTTTTCCCCTTTCAGGCTCTGACTTTATTTTGTCTGTCTAAAGAGTTCTTCCTCATCCAAGAACCAGTAATTTTTTTACACTATGTTCTTTCCACTTCCATTTAGGATCAGAGCTAATTTCATTTCCTTGTGACTCTCTGGTGTATAAATGACTATGACATGATTTGTAGAAGTAATTCAACATCTGAGAATCTGGAGTCTTGAATGAGGATCCTCTGTAGGACCCTGAAGAATAGCTCAGGAGTTCTCTAGCACCTTCTGAAGTATTAATGAAAAACTCTCTAATTTCTTTTATTTTTCCATTCTTAATTTATATTCATTCTAATGCAGGTGTAACTTGCTTTGGAAGTAAGGTTATAAAATCAATGTAATTCAAACTAGATTAAAAACTTAAATTAAAAAAACCCCAAAACCAACCAAACAAAAAAACCCAAACCAAAAAACCCCCAGCTTCTCCCCTACTCCACAGCATTGTAATAATACATTGTTACAGTGTGAGAAGTACTTTTTTAATAACTGGAGAGTTCAAGATATTTTTGAAAGCAACTGGTTTGATTGGGTAAGTATCTCCTAGCAACTTAGGAAGCTTTAAATACAACTGATTGAATACTGCCTGTGGAATATATTGTCAAGCGCAAAGCACCTGCCAAAACCAGATGATGATTCCATTCTTTAAAACACATCAGATAATAAATAGGTAACTCAATATTTTGTCAGCTACCAAAAAGGAATTTGCATAAGACACATGACACAATATATAGAAAATTGAATTCCAAATGACATTCAAGTACTGCAGACCTAAATAGTATGTCTGTGAGGTAGATTTTAAAGTTAATACTGCATGCTTCTATTGAAACGGTGCACTGTTTTAGTAAGAAATTAAACTTGGCTTTCTGGTATTTCTTGGTAATGGTCACTTGGTGTATACATTGACTGTGTGAACATGAATGTGATCTTGCTGGAATTTTATGTGGGCAACCATAGGAAAACCGTACTTGGCAAATAACAGCTTGGGGTTTTTTTTATTGGTTAGAGGAAAAATCAAGCCAAAGAGTGGTAGTGACAACAGAGAGAAGTGTGGCAGACTGCAGCTGCTTTTTCATATCTCAGTCAGCAGCTTAAGATGCTGTTTTCTCTCGTTGTGTATCTTTGCAGGTACCCTACAAAAAACACTAACAAATCTGACTGCCTCATAAATCAATTACACTTCAACCCAAAAGAGCTTCTGGTAGGTGTCATCAATATATAGTATCAACAACATATGGTTGTTGATACAGTCTGCTTAATTTTTCTTGGAGGTAGGAAGTTAAACTCTACTTTGCATGCTGTCCAGATGCAGCCAGAGTAAATGGAGTTGTCTTGTCAAGCAGTATTTTTATGCTGGTAGCTATGCTTTGGTTGATCTGATGTTACTGCTCAGTATGTCTCCAAGGGAAATAGAATAGAGGAGAATCTTATTTTGTCAAGATGATACTGCCTTTACCATGTAATTACTACTAGTGTCGAACAACTAGCTCATACATGAGCTATGCACTGAGCACAGCTGCATAATTTGGCTACTAGTGAGAATTTTACTAATTCACTAATACCTGTCATTCATGACAATTTTTGCCTGGTGCACAGTGAACTGGATAACAAAGAATGATTGTAATATTTCTTCAGTATGAAAATCTAAACATAGTTTAATCAGTCTTATGCACTGAGCTATTAGACTTTAATTTTGTCTTGGATTTGCTGTCCGGTAAGATGATTTAATGACTGTCTATTGCTTAGTGTCTTACGGAGAGAGAGTTATTTAATAAACTACATTAGAATTGATTAGATAGGGGATAGTATCATCAAAAGTCATGTGCTCCACTTGAGATTCTTCTCCATTAAACACACTGTGAATAATTACTAGGGGGAGTTGTAGAAAGTATGTTTGCTTTCATTTCTTTATCAGATCATTTCATAAAAAGGTGAACGCTTTCTGAAAATAACTCTGATGCCTTGTAAGTTTACAAAGAATGCTTGTAAAACCCTCGAGAAAACTTTGCATGTTTTTGTGCTGCTTTTATGATGTTTTTGCGACATTTAGCTGAAACATTAGGAAGCTTTCTGTTTCAACTGGACAACTCAGAAATATATGATCTGTGCATACCTTTAAAAAATGTGTGCTTCTAACCTACTCTGGTCGCCTTGCACGTTCACCTGCTGCCTTCTCATTTTAACACAGAAAGTTTGTATTTCTTGTTGCTGTCAGTGAATCTTCAAATGCTCTGTCTGAAGACGGCACTAGAGAGTTGAAGTGGTAGGTGCTGGAGCCTCAGCCAAAACGGTGACTGTGCAGGCACGGGTGGAAAGCTGGGACCAGGTTATGTGATGTAGAATGTGTGTGCCCTGCTCAGCTGTGCTAACAGAGATCTTCCTGCCTCCTTAGCTCTGCTCTAGTACATTCCCATCTGCGTGGGTACCACAGAAAGTGTCTACCATAGTGCGATCGGCGTCAGAGTTTGCTGCCTCTTGTGTGTCACCTGCCCTGGGAGGGTAAAGCCAGAGACAAGAACATGGGGAGCAGGGAAGCCTGAACAGGGCTGCCTGCTTCTCGGCACCCTCTCCCTCCTTAAGATCACTCCCTTCTGCCCATAGAGACACAGGGAAAGGGACTTCCCAGTCTGAGCAGACCAAGGCAGAGCAAGAAAGAGCTATTGCTGAGCCAGCATGTGGTGTAGTTCCATGTATGTCGGGTCCGTGGAGCTGAGTGTGCTCCAGGCAGTTTGCAGCACGTGGTTAAGTACAGATGTGCGATTTTCACTGCCAGCCATCCTGGGCCGACCTGTCTTTGGGAGCCCTTCTGTGAGCATAAAACATGCTTTGGGCAAGTAAGCATTTCTGTGGTCATACAGTGGTTGTCTGCATTTCTTTCACCTATAGTGTTGTCTTTATCTTGTATTAATTGGAAGTGGCAAAAGCTTTGAGAATTGTGGGTGTTTTATGACAATCAAGATAAGACTTTAACATTAAATTCATCTTCATTTTTGCACAGTTCTATTAAGCCTTTTTTTTTTTTCTGGGTAGCACTCCCTTCTATTTTAGCACACTTTTTCTATTTTAAAAAAAAGCAAACATCTTGCTAAAGGCAAGTTTTTAAAGGAGACATAAAATCCTATATTGTGAGTATGAGTTTTCTGGCATCATTGTATGTGTTAGAAGGGGCCCAGAGCTGCATGCAGTAAGGACAGATTGCTTCATTTGCTCTTGTGCTGTTGCTGTGTGAGTTAGAATCATAGGGAAATTTGCAATGGAAAATTTGTTTCTATGATATGATATTTCTTTCTGAGATCTGGATAGAATAAGATACAATAATAAGGGAAAAATACCATCTTAGCTAATGCTGGTTTCTCTCTGTACTTCTGCTTCATGGTCATCCCTTCACCCTATTTGAAACATGTGTAGGGCTTGAATATCCAAAACAGCAGGTTGCATTCTGTGTGTGCTTTTATGAAGTTATGTGCATCAAGTCAGTCTTTTTTTTGTTTTTGCCCGTCCCATTTGTTTAATTACATGTTGTTATGTATATACAGAATCTCTTGGGGGGGAAAAAAGACAAATTTCTTCTGGCTGTGGCTTCACACAGGCTGGTCTGTGCCACTGAAGTGGCCAGTGGAAAGAAAAGCAAGCTGCTGTGATCCACTTACACACAGAGACAAGCAGATCAAACCCATATATTTATATCTATATTTTAACCATATTTATATTTACTTACAGTGTATTTTTATCTTCAAAAAATAAGCACTTTAGCAAATTCCTATATTTGAATACTCAGGATGACTCATTTAATGCAGGAATCAACACAAGCATCTAAAAACATGGTTTGGATATCCTACTTAGGCATTTGCCTCTGAAATTCCCCAATTCTCTCATTACTGAAAGCTGGGCGGAGGTAGCTGGGGAGTAAAAGTTCCAGTCATCTGATTTATAAAGCTGTCAGCCATTACAGACTTTTTAGTTTGAGCAGATCATTCTCGGTATTTAGTTGGAGTCATCTTTCAAATCAGTGACTTCTGGCAAACTCCAAAAAAGTATTTTTATTTGCAGTACTAGGAAACATTCAAATCTGTTAAAATTATTGTTGTTGGGTTTGGGGGGGTGGTTGTTTGTTTGTTTTGTGGGGGTTTTTTTGTTTGTTTGTTTGTTTATCCTTCCTGTCTCTACTTGCAGGTAACATCATGGTGCTGTGGTCAACTTGCAGAACATCAGTACTTAAATCTGTAACAAACCGACTCATCAAGAATTTGGCCTGCTCGGGGATCTGTGCCAGCCTAGTCTGTGTGCCTTTTGACATTGCTCTTAGTGCCAGTCCACACTGCTGCTGGTGGATCTATACGATGCTCTTCTGCAGAATTGCCAAGTTTCTGCACAAAGTCTTCTGCTCAGTGACCATCCTTAGTTTTCCAGCCATTGCTCTTGACAGGTAAGAGAGCAAATTTGCCAGGATTCTTGGTTTTTCTTTCTTCTTTCTCCCTTTGAAACCCTTTTCTCCCTTTAATATTGGTCTTGCTCTTGTTCCAATGCTTTGCTCACAGTGTACAGCTTCTTTCTAGAATGTATTGGGATAAATATTCTTCTCTGTAACATTGAAAACCTTTATTTTTCAGTTTACTCTGATATGTCTGGACATTTATAAAGGACTTTTGAGTCTATGGATTTATCTTCAGAGAAGACTTTATCCTTTCTTTCTTCCTGTTAATAATTCTTGTTCAGTAATGGATCTTGAAAGCAGACAACTTCAGACTATAGACAAGGTGCACATTTTTATCTGTGGAAGTTGAAAGCCATTGCCTGTTAGAAGAATTTACGAATGCCTGAGGTAGACTGTCCATCAATTTAAAATGTAGATTTGTTTTAGAAAAAACCCAAACAATATGAATACAACCAGAATTAATTCAGAGAGGTTTTGTATGTAGAAGAACAGTCTAAAACAGAAGTGGCTCTTTGGACTGTCTTAAGTTTTTAGGTTCTATTCATTTTGCTTATTATTATTAGCAGCCACTGATCCCACCTAAATGCTCAGCTCTATCATCTTGACAGTGACTGTAAGTTAGATATTTTTAAGGAAGGGTAGATACAGGTTTAATACAGCTTACATTACTAAAAGAGTGGATTTATACATGTTAGATAAAATTATTGTTAGTCTGTTACAGTGTTTCACCACAGAATATGTTAGCTTTACAAAGCCAAACTGTATATCTAATAAAGCGATATGTCTCTTACTTTAATGTTAAGGTCTTGATAAATGCAGTATCACCATCTGTAATGCACATCAGCGTTGCCACTGAAACAGCATATCATTTGCCCTTCACCAATAAAACTTGTGATCTTCATCACAAAAAGCACAAACTGCTACTGCTTATAATGATAACTGTAAGAGGATAGGTCTCTCCTGAAAATTCTGTGAGCTTAGAAGTCCGCAGTAGTAAGCAAACAACGAATCAGTGCCTGAAATACGAAGTGCATGTCAGAGATGCAATTTTTGTTTTAATGCACACAGAATGTTCAGTGTTTGACTACTCTTTTGCTCAGGGCATTGCCAACCAGAGCTTGTGCAAAACAAAATTCCATTGTACCTCCAGTAGATGGGTACACGTAACTTGTGACCAACAGGTTTTTCCAAATACCCAGAGAAAAAAAATCTATCATAAAGCAGCTTTTCAAATTAACTATGAGTCTGGCCTTTCAATGCGACATATCTATGCCTCCATCATGGTTTCTGAAATTTTATGCTGTGTGCAATATACTGGCCAGTTTACAAGGAAGTAAATGATGAAATCTTCAAAATAATGTTCATGCACATCAGGCAAAATGATACAGTCCCAATTATTGAAAGAACTGTTTACCACCAATAATGTCATTGTGAAGTTTGAATATTCAGGTTTTTTTCTACAGACAGACCTGCAAAGGCAGACCCTTGGGTTTTTTTCTTTTTCTCTCATAAGCAGGTAGTCAGTTGGCAACCCCATTAGAGATTTGGGGCATTATGCTTAGACAGCTCCTGAGAGGCATCTCATAAGCACTATGCTCATTATAGACTTCACCCTTTGCATTGTATCAGTTGTAATTTTTTAAATTTTTTTTTTTGACAGGTACTACTCTGTTTTGTACCCTCTGGAAAGAAAAATATCTGATGCAAAATCCCGAGACCTGGTTATCTACATCTGGGCCCATGCAATAGTGGCCAGCATTCCAGTATTTGCTGTGACCAATGTGTCTGACATTTATGCCATGTCCACCTGTTCTGAATCTTGGAGTTACTCCCTTGGCCACCTGATATACGTCATCATCTATAACATCACCACTGTGATTGTACCAGTGGCTGTGGTATTTCTCTTTATGATTCTTATTCGCAGGGCACTGAGTGCCAGCCAGAAGAAAAAAGTCATCATAGCTGCCTTAAGGACCCCTCAGAATACAATTTCCATCCCTTATGCCTCCCAGCGAGAAGCTGAGCTTCATGCCATGCTGCTTTCCATGGTTATGATATTTATTTTCTGCAGTGTCCCCTATGTGACTTTGGTGATTTACCGCACCATACTCAATATTTCAGATATTTCTGTCTTCTTGCTTCTCACTGCCATTTGGTTGCCCAAGGTCTCTTTGCTGGCCAATCCTCTGTTATTTTTAACTGTTAACAAATCTGTACGGAAGTGTTTAGTGGGGACAATAGTACAGCTGCACCGAAGGTATAGCAGGAGAAACATTGTCAGCTCAGGTGGTGTTGCAGATGCTAATCTGGAGCCCAATGTCCGTTCGGGGAGCCAGCTTCTGGAGATGTTTCATATAGGGCAACAACAAATCTTCAAGCCAATGGAAGATGAGGAGAATGAGACCAAATCCATTGGCTATTGTGACTTTCAACAGAAGGAAATTCCTACCACCAGTTTAGAGGTAGGAGAGACTTTGGTCCACAAATTTATACCACAGACGACTGCAGACTCTGCAGCTCAGGTGGCACCAGCTGTGCCCACAGAAGCTGACATGGTAAATGACAAGTATGCCATGCAGTTTGGTTTTGGACCCTTTGAGCTGCCTCCACAGTGGCTTTCAGAAAACCGAAACAGTAAGAAGCGACTCCTGCCTCCTTTGGGGAATACCCCTGAAGAGCTAATCCAGACGAAACAGCCTAAGTGTAAAGCAGAAAGAAAAATCAGCAGAAACAATAAAGTCAGTATCTTTCCCAAAGTGGATTCTTAGTAAGAGCAGAAGCTTTAAGTCACAGAGGAAGGTCACCTTCTATTATATGTGTGATCCCATGGATCTTTGTTATGCTGAAGTTTGTTACAGGCGGATTTTTTTGTGCCAAATGTAATTTTAAACAAACAAACAAAAGGGAAACATATATACAAGTGTTCCTTATTAATTTGTTTTCATGAAAATAGTATATCAAAGGATGGTGGTTCTTAGTTTTATCTGTGAAACCCCTACAATGATACCTGCCTGAATAACTTCCAAAAAGTATACATGGCTTTGGGAACACTTTGTATGGCTGAAGTATGGAAAGATGGCAGTCAGTTTGCTGGGAGAGCTTACATTTATTAAAATGGACTGGGTATCAAAGTAACTTAATAGGAAAGGCTGTAGGGAGCGAAGACAAATGCAAAACAGGTTAAGTCCTAATTTCTGTAAACGGACACAGCAAGGTTCTGCACATTTCATTGATGAAGTAAGATGGACTATTAAGTACATCTATTTTTTATTAAGCCCATTTCTTAAATCAGTGTTAAAAATAAAACTTGCTGGACTTTTTGCACAAATTAGTTACCAAGTATCTGACAAACGTAAACTTTTTTTAAACCTAAACCACTATTTTTTGGCTTAAAACTTCAGCAAAGCCAAGGATGCACAAATCGTCATGTGTTAAACCTTAGAAAGACCTTTTTTAAAAAAAAAAAAGTATTCTTGTAAATTTAAGGAAAAACTGGATCGGAGACTGTGCAGGACAAATCCTGACTCCAGTAAACAAGTATGTATGTGCCAAGGGCATAAACAGAACACATTGATCCTGTGATAAAGGGCACATACAAATGTCCCAACAGTGTAATGTATGTATTGTGTAAGTAATCAAGGGGTCAACCTTAAAATAGACTCATCTGCTGGTGCACTCTGCTGTTTTCTTATGGGAAAGCTGGCAAGTGAAAGAAATGGGTCAGAAATGCTAGTAGCCTTGTACTGAACTGTGGAGTGAGGAAGCTGGTAACAGACCCCAAAAGGCAAAGTTTGTTAATACCATTGCTCTACCGTTGTCAGAGGTAGGGAGGTTTTCCTTCTACTTTCACACATACAGATGCCAACCATCCTGCTACACTCGTCTCACAGACTAAACCAACCAGTGTATGAACTTTCAAATCTGGTGCCTAATTCCTGAGTGAATCAGAGTCACGCCATCCCTGGTATCGGCACACGAGCCTTTCTGTCAGAGTTCAGGCATTGTACTGCACCTTGCCCCCGCTGCACCGTCACAGGCATATTGTCTTGTTTATATTAAGTGTGAATTTTAAACTGTATCTGTCTGTTAGATGACCTGAAACTATTGTAACCCTGTCATTTTAAGCCTTGTTCAGTTGCAAATTGTCTTTCCTTCTGCCTTACTTGCACTCGCTACTGTCTCTGTGGGTAGCTTCTTAAAAGCGCAGTCTAGTACCATCTGTGTACTCCTTGTGCTTCTCCTGTACTTTAGCCTTTTGGTGCATGCTGAACCTTTACCTGTAGTTACTGCCTGTTTATGAAAGTAGTTTTCTTTAAAACATACTTTTAAAAGGGCAAGGTGAAGAATCTTGCCAAATTCACAGTAACTTACTCAATCCAACCGGTTAATGTTAAAAGTGAGAAAAAATTCTGCTGAAGCAGAATTTGGAGATGTACCTGTTCTTCCTTTGACATGTTTGAAGAAAGTCAGCAGTTTCCGATGGCTCCAGGGTGGTGTATTTTGACAAGGCATTAAAAGCAAACGTTTTAATAAAAATGAATTAAAGAAAAAAGTTTATAAATTCCTGTGTAAATTATGTTTTTCTCCATTTCCTCTTTAGTTTCGGTGCTCTTCGCTTCTTGCTATTTCAAGGACTTCTCAGCTTGGGAGTGAGGAGCAGCCTTCAGTGGGTCCAGACGGGTGGTGGGAACCCCAGCTGCCCTGCTTCTTAGATACAGAGATGAGAAGACAGACCTAGCTTGCCTGAGATCAGACAGAAAAAATATTCCAGGAAAAGGTGTTTCTTCTGTGGCAGAAGTAGAGATGTACAATAGCAGACTTTTTTTTTTAAAGTGTTGATAAAAAGTAATTTAATGGAGTGTTTATTTTTCCGAAGCTAGTGAAAGAACAGATGCCATTCAAAAAATCCCCAAAACCCAAAAGCAAAGTACGACTTCTTGTTTCCTTAGGAATGTTGGTTAAATGTAATATTTATGGCCCACTTACATATAGATACTGGTCAAACTGTCTGTGATTAGTGAATGTAAATGGTTACTGAGATCTGAACTCCCTTTGAGGAAAACAAACTTGCCCCTTTCAACTCTTGTGTTGAATGAAATGCCAATGATAAATTCAAGGAGCCAAACTGCACAGAATTTAGCCTTATCATATCTGGAAGGCAAGGCGTTTGTGGTGTTTTTTGACTGTTGAGACAAAAACATAATTTTATTTCAAAGAGGACACATGTAAAAACTTGCTTGTGTATTTTTTTAGCAGATTATATCTGAAGACATTGAAACCTTTCACCAAGAAATTAATTAAGGTGGTTTTCCATACCTGAAGAATTATTTGGGAATGATTTATTTTAGTCCCTCTTTCAACAGTTTATCCATGTGAATGTTTAAGGGAGGTGGAAAAATACATGAAAACACATTGTTGGATAGAAAAAATAATTTGTGCAAAATTCATAATACAACCTCTGTGCTAGAATTGTAATCAGAAAACAGTAATTTGGGAGACTCTTTATGCAAGAGGGACTATATGAGTTGCAAAGTTTGATTTTTAACTTCATCTAAGACAATGGTAACTTTTGAGTCATTACTGCTGTCTGTTGGCTTGTTGTTCAAATGATTTCTACTGGGCAAAATGTTCTCCAGCATCCAATATGAAAAAAAATAAATCAAGACTTGTTTTCTTCTTTATCATCACATTAAAGATAAGCAAAAGTGGGGTTTTTTATGATGCTTGTTTTTAACCACTACAGGTACTGATAAGATAAATTCTCTGCAGATTATTGATGAAAGAAAGTGAAGTACAAAGTAAAACCATGGGAATTGAAGAAGTGAAAGCCTGGGGTAATTTGGCCTCTGCAAACAGATTTAAAGGACAAATCTTACTACTGGAGAATAAACTTGGAGGAAGGAAAGCTAAAACTCATTATTCTGGCACTTAGGAGAGAAAAACAGAAAATGGAGCTCATAATAAACAAATTCCTCCTTTGAAGAGGAGGAAAAGACTACAGAGACAATGTCAATAAATATTGTTAAATTCAAACAAACATCATGTAAAAGTTAAAAAAAAAACCAAAAAAAAACCCCCACAGTCCTTCAGCATCAAATAATGCTGTATTGGTTGGCTACTTGACAACAATGTATTTTTCACAATGCGATACACTTCCAGAGAAAAGCAGTTGTTTTCTAGAAACTCCCCAAGTATTACACACTTTAACAGATCTAACTGTTACTAAGCTGCAGTAATTTAATGAATGCCTTTGTTCTGGTTTTAAAAATACTTTAAAATACACCTATAGATAATGTTTTTCAGAAGAGGCTGGCTGGATTTCTGTAGCAAGTTTTCTTCTTTTTTGCTCCGTTTCCTGGGAAAATATTCCCGTATCAGTGGGCTGTATCTTGAAGAACGGAGAGGAGAGTCAGACTGTGGTTCCTGATCAGTAGGACTGTGACTTAGCAGCTGGTTCCAGCTAAATGGGCCCTTGTCCCATAAGCTGCTGTGTAAGTAACCAGCTCTGGAGGTGATAACATGTCTCACAGAATTCTGGTAGTTCCTCTCATTCTGGAGGTGATAACATGTCCCACAGAATTCTGGTAGTTCCTCTCATTCATGTCACCTGAACTTGCACTGCCTAATTTGATAAATAATGTAAACATCAAAAAAGCAAAATCCATGCCTTCTAATCTTGCTTGATATAAGTTACTGTGTAATTGTGCTTTAACCTAATTAGGAATCAGTATGAGATAACCAGTAGGTTTAGGTTTTTTTCTTTTCTTTTTTTTTGGCCACGAAGGACTCACCCCCCCAAAAGAGATGGTTGAAGTCAAAGTAGGGATATTAGCAGGATTTCTAAGCGAGTTATAGTGACGCCTTTAGCTATCAAACTTGGATTACAAGGTTAGTCACTGCAATCTGCAGTAATTTATAATTCAAGGACGGTTTAGGAAAACAAAACACATCTTGTAGAAGATTGCAGAACTCCATATGCTTGCACTGAGGAGCAAGTTGATTCCTCCCCTCCCCTGGAGGACACAGCAGGAACAGCAGGAACCAGCCCAAAGTGATCTTAGTTCCTCGTCTGTTTTTAAGCTGCTAACCAGCCAAAGATGGTGAAGAGTACAGAGAGGCTGATTTTTCTGATTGCTTTCTTCAGGGACAACACCACAAGAGTGGGATGCAGAACCATTCTTCATCTCCATGAAAGCCCCTCTGTGTAGGAGCAGTTCCCTTGTTTCGTCTCTGTGAGGAAAAGTGGACTATTTTTTAAAGAAGGCATAAGAAACACCAAATCAGATCCAATTCCTGAATATATGTTTGGTCACACAAACCAGGGTTTCTCTACGCAGCTCTTCTTTTGCATCCTGAGGTTCCCTAAGGCTAAAAATAACGCACTGTGATGGTGATTTACTCCAAAACCCAATTTGTGCACAGTACTTAGCTAAGCAGTATTCCATCTTACTTGCCTCCATTTTCTGTAAAACTAAGCTCTCTACTTTTTGCCTGGATCATATCCTAAGCCACGGAAGAAGGTCCTTAGACACTTGTAGGATCTCATTCTTTTGGTCTCCTTGTACCTGTCCAACACGCTGCACCCCACGCCACTGAGACATTTCAGCAAAACACAATCTGTTTTGAGCGCCTGCTTCCTAAACTCTGCTCTTTGCCAGCAGAAGAAGGTGTGGCAGCATGGAAGACAATCTTGACAAGGCAGGACCTTTCCCAATGCAAGTCAAGGAATGAAAACCCAGCTATATTAAACACGATGGAAGTTTTAGTA